AATAGTATCCTGTAAGTTTTAGGAGAATAGTCATTTATTTTGTTTTGCTCTTTCAGTAGAAAAATGAAACCATATTGATGAAAAGGAAAGCCGGTTATTTAAGTAGCTTTAAATTTTATAATTTAAATCCTATCTAAATATCATTGTACATTCCTAGTATCTTAACAGAAGGAGTTTTTGTACTGCTTGCCCAGGTAGTGGTTTCTTTGACCTGAATTAAAAATAAATAAATCTCAGTTGCCAGAAATTGTTATGTTTTCATAAGCCGGTGTGGGGCAGAGGTGAACCAGGGGCTCTTTGTTCCAGAGACTCCCCAGGGGTCTTTATAGGACATTGTCACCTGACAGTGCTATTTTGCTGTGTCCTGTCCCCCCAGGCCTCCATCTGCAGGAGCAGCCAGCCCCTGTCTGGTTTTAGTGCCCGGTGCCTGGAGGATGAGCAGATGCTCCAGGCCATCAGGAAAGCCAATCCAGGAAGTGACTTTATTTATGTTGTGGACACTCGACCTAAAGTAAGTATTGCCATTCCAGTGCATGTCACTCAGTCCTGAAACTGGAGCCCAGCCTAATAAACCTGCTACCACTTGGCTCCTGCTGCTCCATCTGCAGAGGGCCCTGCTGGCTGCTTTTGGAAGGTGCTAAGCTCCTGAAGGGGTGGACCATGTCAAGTATATTTTGTATTTTACCTCCGTGTAACATTGTGCTGGGCTTATGATATGGCACACAGTAAATGAAGGTGGTTTCAGTTTAGCAGTTGTTCTCCTCAATATACCCAATTGTTATGTGATTTGTTTCTAAAACGTCCCTCTCTGTTGTGACAATAGGAAGTTCACTATGGAACCCCAGCAATTCTGTTTATGTAGGTATTTTGCTATACTTTTCCAAATTCTACTTGTGGTGACCTGTACTAATGTTTGGAAAGATCTATAAAACATAACGTTAAGTTAAAATAAGGTCATAAAATAATACATATTTTATTGTAGTTTATTAGAAAACCTAATAAAAATATGTAAAGATATGTAAAAAAAGATATGAAGAGATGAATATTAATTAAAATTCTATAGAGAAGGGAGTAGGATTTGGGAAGGTAGAAGACTTGTACTCTTCTTTTCTTAGAAAATATCTTATAATTACATATGTACTAATGTATTAATTTTCTGATGTAATAAAATATCCAGTAGGACCTAACAAGTAGTCATTGAGGGGTAAGCCAAATTGATCTTACGCTTACTTCCCACTCAACCTAACTTTTTTTTAAAGGAGAGTGAATGTTGGGTGCAATTTCCATTTTGCTTTTTACACCTAATTCTTTCAAAGCCAGTTAACAAATGGAGTTCCCAAGGGCATGTGGCAGTGAAGGCATGGAAATAAATATAAGCTATAAGTGTGGCGAATATGTAGCACAAAATGAGATAGCAGAATGAAATGCCCTGTAGCGTACCATATTTGACAGTGTAATTTTTAGACAATAGTGGTAAAGTAACTAGTCCTGTGACTCATTAGAGAGGACGTTGCATCTTAGCTCCGTCTTTGCATCTGGGTATGGAAAAGAGTCCCAGGCATACTATTAAACAAGTGTGTGGTACAGAAACTGCATGGTATGACCCTGTCAGAAGAAAATGGAGGGAGTATATACCAAACTAGTAACAGTGGTTTTTTCCCGTTGGTTGAGAGATAGATTTTTTATGAACTTTCTTACTTTTTAAATTGCAGTTGGAATTTTTTCATTATAAAAAGATTAAAAGAGAAAAAGGACCCTCAATGTTAAATATAATATTTCTATATGACCAGAAATTTCATTCCTGCATATATACCAAGAGAAGTGAAAGTATATATCTATATAAGAAAGGCCAGAAAATCTCTACAACCTAAGTAAACCTTGAAATTGTTAGGCTAAGTGAAAAAGTCTATTATAAATGACTCTATATTGTAAGATTCCCATTTACATGAAACGTCTAGAATAGGCAAATTCATAGGGATGGGAAATAAACTGCTGTGTAGGGCTGAAGGAAAGGGAAAAAATGGAGTGTGACTGCTCATGGTAGAAGATTTCTCTTTGGAGGGCAGTAGAAATATCCTAAAATTAAATTATGGTGATGGTTTCACAACCATGTCAATATACCAAACTCCACTGAATTTTGCACTTTTAAGTAGGTGAATGGTATGACATGTGAATTATATGTTAGTGAAACATTTTTAAAATGTAAGTATGAAAACATTACAGTAGGAAGAAAAAAGAATTGGCCCAATAGCAAAAATCACTTAAAAGCATAGTATTAAAAATAGGTACTTGTAGTCTGTACTCATGGGCATTGTGAGAACTGGATGCTGTATTGTGTAGCTACTCAGACCTTGATAATTTTCACTGCTGTCAGTCTCTTTCCTCAAATGCTGTGCTTCTCGTCCAGAATCATTTACTATGATGTTTTCCTAGCATAAGATCAGTGTCCTGCTGATGCGCTTGACCTTGGAACAGTTCCATCTGTTTCTGGTCATATGTACTGTAGGGTAGATGTGGGTGCAGTAGTGAGAATGGAGTGTCTCTCAGCTTCCAGGTCAGTGAACCAGTCATGAAGATCAGTATGAAACCGGTATTAGGGCTACATCACGTTCATATTTAATAGAGTGTATATAAATTGTCCCTTCCTTTTAAATAAATTCTCAAAGCACACAGAGAGGAGTTTGAACTTAGGATCAAAAATAGATTTTCAGTTCAAAGATTTTCACTTGAAAGGTGCCAAAAACTCTCTTTTACCATTTGTTATGGTTGATACACTGTGTCAACTTGGGGAGTCTAGAGGTTTGGCTAAGTGACTCAGCAGGAAGCCAGGGTGCTTACTTTTATAAGTCCTGAGCCTGTGGAAGAGGAAGGCATGGAGATTATGTGAGAGCTACACGCCCCTTAGGTGGGGTAGCCTGTTTACAATGTAAGGGAGGGAAAGAAGCTGCTTGCCGCCATTTTTCCCTTTTGCTCTGGCTGTTTGCTGTTCGGCTGCCATTCCTCCCTTTGCTCTTGTTGCTTGCTATCTTCTGCCTCGGAGCCAGCCAAGTATGGACTGAAACCTCCACAAACTGTAAGGTAAATAAACCAGTCCTTCCTTCATTTTGGACGTTGGGTATTTTGTCTCAGCAACGAGAGAAAAGTAACGAAGACACCATTCTATTTCAATTTGTGCTTTTTTACTCTTGCTTATGCTTTTTTAACTCTTTCCTTCAAACCCTGATTGCTTTCCCTCCCCTTCCTTATATCTTTTCTATAAATAAGGCAAGCTGCTTTGAACTTACTAACAGTTAACAGATAATTGAATGTATCACTAGTTCTTAGACAGATACACTGAAGAGAAGATAAAAAAAGGAAAGGAAGAAAAGACAGTGGCTTTACTGAGACTAGAAAGTCCTTTTCCTATCCAATTTTTATAGCTTTAAATAAAACAAAGAAATTCACTTACTAATTTAGGAACCAGTGATCCAAATTGGTACTGTGTTATGTAAGCCTTCCCTAGAATATGGCAGCTTCAAGGCCAGGCATATTTTAGATTTAAAACAAATTAATCCAAAGGATTTGATTTGAAGAGCATATTCAGCACTTAATATATTTACTGTCAGTGATAAGTTTGACACTGATACATTAGAGAAAATTGGTGCCTCTCTTCTCATATTTATCCATATGCATACACTTCACATGATTTTTAAACTGTTTGCTTCAAGCTTTCCTTCTTGTAAAGATCATGTCTGTTGATTTTTGTTCCAGAGCATGTTAGGCTTCCTTGGTAACCAGGAGACTAAGTGGGTGTTTGCTACAGAAAGTGTGGACAATAGCAGACGGGCACTTCCCAGGTTTACTTACAGGTTTAATTAAAAAGAACAATGTGGTACCCTAATGATTCTTGTCCTTTGAGTAAGGCGAGCCTTGCCTGGGAGCTTCCAGAGCTGCCTTTCAGATGAAGCCTCCAGAGCTGTTCATTGAGGTTACAGTGATGGGAAGTGAAGGCGGTGAGGCTCTCAAGTACGCATGAAATTTCTGTTCAAAAAACTTTGTCCTTGAAGTGATGTATTATTGCTAGTGTTTGTTGCATGAGTAAAATACAAAACTGTGCACATTTGTAATCCCAACTGCTTGGGAGACTGAGGCAGAAAGACTGCAAGTTTGAGGCCAGCCCAGGCAAAACTGTCTTGGAAAAAGGCCTAGAGATACTGTTCAGTTGGTAGAGTACCCCTGGATTTGAGCCCTGGCACCGTTCTCCTCAAAAAAAGGAAAGAAAAAGAAAATATGAAAGTATTGATGCAGTATTTGTTGAATTGTAAAATGAGGGTTAACTAATTTTATCTCTACCTTGTTCATGACTTTAACAAGTATTTTGGGATTTTGCTGAGCTTTTAAAACTGTCAAATGCTTTCTCATTTAGTTCGTATAAGAATCCAGCAAAGTAGGAGGTTTTTGTTTTGGTTTGTTTTTTCATGAATAAAGGCTTAGGTTTAAAGAGGTTAAGTATCAGCCAAGATCACACAGTTCAAGGCAGAACTCATATTGAAATCCAGGCTTATCTGACCCCAAGGCCAGTGCTGTGTTTGATGGTGGTGGCTTTTCTGTTTATACAGCATCTGTAGTGGAACCTTGTCCCCACCATAAGGCTCAGGAAGCTTGCCACGCCTGAGCTGAGTACACACCCAGTGAAGCTGGAGAACTAACCATGAGTGCATCAAAGTCAGGCCGTAGCCAGAGGAACAAGAAGGCTCTGAGCTGTGCTGTGAATACCAGTCACTGTGGAGGAGGTGTAGAGATGTGAAGGGAAGGCCCAGGTTGACAGGCCCCTGCTTCAGAGGGTGCTCAAGCCCACAGATCATTTTGTGGTAACGGCCTCAAGTTTCACATGTTGGTGTGGTGGAATGTTGCATGGGTGTTTTTCTTTTTTGCTGGAATTGGTGATTAGATGGTGTCAACTCACTGAGCCCTAGGAGGGTGGGATTTGGGAAATACTGTTGCGGAGGCTGAGGTGCCTGAAAGAGGGGATCTTGCATCTTATTTTAACATCAGATGGGCATCAGACTTGCTGACAGCCATCCCTGGCCACCAGAAGGAAGGGAATACAAGAGATGGCACCATATAGTGCCTGTGGAGCAGTCAGCACTTCTGCTTTCTGTCAGGGCAAAGATGGGGATGCCTTGACACTAGGGGTCCCTAGGCTGTTTAGTGGCAAATGATGGTGCGGGGATCAGAATAAGTTCATGCCAAGGTGCATTTTCCACACCAGGGAAATGTGTGCTCCTTGCCTCTAAGAACCCCCATTCATGCCTGGGAGAGTCTGCATTTGTGTATTTACCCATCGGGGCAGGGAGAGATGGCCAGTTACTGTTAACCAGCGAAGAGGTGATAACCGATGAAGAAGGAATTGCCACCTTGCCTAGCTTTGCACAGAGCTATTTATTTTCCCTGATTCCTCCACCCCACCCTGTTCACTACACAGAGGCTAGAAGAGAGAGAGGAGGGAGAAAGTCCCAGAGCAAAATAATCACAAGTCCACATAGTTCACAATGGGGGAAAGAGATTGCTTTGCATCATATATGGGTTGAAATTTTAAATTAAGATTGGTAAAAATTTTCTATCTGAATATGAAATTGACCCAACCTATGGGAATGGGAAAAGAATATTTTGACCCACAGTTGTAGACAGTACTTGCAAGGAATAAAATCTCATAAAATCATCTCATCTCATGTGTATCACAAATTACAGTTCTTCATTTAACCAGTTATATACAGAGGGGGAGAAAAGGGCTGTCGTTTGCCAATCTATGTTAGGGTGTATCCCAATCCTCCTGCAATAAAAGATCAACTGTTATTGTCATTCCCAACAGTGTCAGATCAGGCTCCATCATTATTCAGGTATATAACCTAAGTGCTGAAATGTCAGATGCCAAGACGAAGATAGGGACCAGGCTGACCTCCTAACCTGATAAGAAGATACGCACTGACTGAGTTTTCATGGGTTTGATTGAGGATTAGGAGAATCTGATTCTACTTCTTTTTGGTTTTTTTCCGGTACCGGGAATCTAACTCACGACGTTGCACTTGCCAGGCAGGCGCTGTGCCGCTGAGCTAAATCCCCAGCCCCTGATTCTACTTCTTTACAGTGTCGTCCTACTCGCTTCTCACTTCATTACTTAGTCGTTTATGTCTAGGTTGGCAATCAGTGCATCCCTCCTGTGCCTCGGGGGAGGGTCATCAATGAGGGGAGGGATGTAGCCATCAGGGAGACTGATTGGTCCCTTCGTGTTCTCTACCCCTCTTCTCATTCTCCACTAAGTATAAAATATTACATATGAATTTCATGTATATAATATATACGTAATGTAGGATAACTTTTTAGGTGTTTATTGTAAAATGATGTTTCCTTCTTTGAGGGTTCAGCTTTTGCCACATTATTGTAATAGATCTTTTTAAAATAGGTGAAAGTCCTGAAAAATTATTTTGGACAGTAGATTAAATAGTGCCATCTTTTGTTCATTATGTGAAGTACATAATGGCTTTCAGGAGGTTTTCTTGTGTTTGGTACTTTGCTTTTAAGTAAGACTGCAAATCAATTCTTTCATTATAGGTAATCATCTGTTTTAAAGTGTGGGCATAGTCTTAATCATAATTATGTTTCAATTATTAAAGTAATAGTAATAATAATAACAGTATTTTGTTTTTTATTTATTACATATTTTTCAAAGAATATTTCTGTGCTATGTGGTAAGTTGGTCCAACTTGAATTATTCAAGATAAAGAATAAACAAAGTTTATGTAACGTAAAGATACTTGCAAGTATCCTATTAATTTGTTTTGCTTTATGAAACTTATTCTAAGGGATAAGCCAACAGCTTTGAAAAATAATTATATGAAAAAGTGATAATTTTATAATACATAATTCTGAACACTGCCTATAATTTTTGAAAAAATTTCCCCTTAAAATATTTAAGCTTTACAAAATATGAACCTTAATAGTCTTTAAGATATACTGTGTAATTTTTTCTTGATTAAACTAAACCCTTTATTTTTATGACTTATCCAGAAGAAAAGGCAGGCCTGCTACACACTGGGACAGCATCCTGAGGCATTCCCAGATGATGCTGTGTTTGCTAAGCCAGGGAGCAGGGGTGCTATTGTGATGTGAGCCCTTGTGACAGTGATTTGCCCTCTGCTCTTTTATTTCTATTCATTAAATTACGAAGATAACATATGTTCTTTGTTTTTGTTTTTGTTTTTTGGTTTTTGTTTTTTTTTTTGGTTTTTCTCCGGTACCGGGAACCGAACTCACGACCTTGCGCTTGCCAGGCAGGCGCTTTTGCCGCTGAGCTAAATCCCCAGCCCCATATGTTCTTTGTAACACTGAAATACAGGAGTATCTACAGTAACAAGGATAGTATTCCCCTGCCACTTGGCATCTGCTTTCTGCTGTAACTATTGCCAAATTGGTATATTCTTCCATACATTTAATTTTGCTTGATGACTATCCATAAACATAATTATATATATAATCTTAAGTTAGTTTCTTTTATTAAAATAGGTTACTATATGAGTATCCTATAGCTTTTATATATGTATGTATGTATAGGATATATGTGTATGAAAATACATGTTATACACACATATATATATTTGCATATGTATGTGTGTGTGAAGCTGTGCCCTGATCTAGGCTATGAATAAATCATAATTTATGCAGTCATTGTCCTACTGAGATATTCATGAGTTTTCAGGTTTTTACCATTATAAAAATATCACATTAGACTTTCTTGGACATTGTGTGGTGGTACTTTTAATTTTGTCAAAATCTCAGAAGTAGGAGATCTGGGTCACAGAGTATCTGTGTTTTTAACATAGTTTAGCTCTTTTAACTCAGCTTAATTTTTTGAAAAGTACTGCTTTGCACTCTGCTCTGAACAGTGGATATTTGTTCTGGGTGGGAGGTCTTGGCGCAGGTTCTCTGCCTGGGATAGCTGCCCTCCCCTTTGTGGCAGGGGAGTAGAGTAGTGGTGACCTGCTTAGTCAGACAGAAGAGTGTAACATTACCGTTACAAATCTTCTCCGTTCTACAAATCTATTTCCCAAGACTTGCCTACTTCGTAATCTTACTACACAGGGCTAGGCCAGAGTTTGGGCTTAATAAATTTTTTCAGAGTCCGTTATCCTTTAACTCAGTTTGTACTGAGGTCTCTAACTTCTCAGTTAGTGAAAATGGTATTGAAAATGATTTTATAAAACATGTATTAGGTGTCTAGATTTAAAGAAGGCAGCTGGAGGAAAAGTCTCAAGATTGAATGCAGTCTCAAGATCTGCATTCCCTCTCTTCATTTTATTCAGTGATTCCTACTCAAGGTTTAATTGGATATCTGAGGGACCCTTGCACATTAGAATGATGTAACTATTCATAATTGATAGCGTGGTTATTGACAGTATCATACTGTAAGATACCATAACTTACTGAGCCTGATACTGACAACTATGTCTGCTGATCCTCTTTTTCCAACCTGCAGGTTGTTATGTGTAGCATTAAATTGGAGCAACTTGGCTCTTTTACAGAATTCCACATTGTTTGGCATCCCTGAGAGGGAACTGCCTAGGGGCATCTCCAGGAGAGTTGATCTGTGGAATGCTTCTCACTTGAGAAACAAATTCATGCTATTATATATAAGCTTAACCTGAGTGCCAGAAGCTACAAAGTTTAGCATAATGTCCCAGAGATTTCAATCATATTGTGCTTGTGTACTTCATTTTGAATGTTTCTGTGAATATAAGTTGTTTTCGTTGTTTGGTGCACTGAATGTAATTGATGCCTGTTCTGTTTTGCTGACTACTGCAGCTTAATGCAATGGCAAATCGTGCTGCAGGGAAAGGCTATGAGAATGAAGACAATTATTCCAATATCAAGTTTCAGTTTATCGGGATAGAGAACATCCATGTCATGAGGAACAGTCTGCAGAAAATGCTGGAAGGTAAACCATTTCCCTACACATAGGTTTAGCAAAATACAGTTACGTACTTTGATGCCAAAGCAAGATAATTGTTTGCTTTTAAAAAAATTTTTTTTTCTCCCATTGATACTGTTTATATAGATGTGACAGGTTGGGGAAAGTACCATGTTATAGTGATTCTTTAAAATTTAATTGGCTTTTCTTACTTCTTTTAAGTATTGTTATGAAGCAGCTTTGTCACTTGGTAGTCAGCAGTCAGGGACTCTCCAATGACACTTAACATCTAAGACAAAAGTGCACAGAGATATTTTCTTTTTCTCCCTCATGTTTGTCTGGCCCACATTCAAGGCCACTTGAAGAGAAAGCAATCCTACACTCTAAGCAAGAACCCACTATTTTTGTGTGGAGCTCATGCTCATGAACTATACTCTAGAGCTGAGTGGCCTTTAGAAGAGGGGTATTGGAAGTCCTTACTACTATGACACACGTGCACGTAGCACCCCTCAACACTCACGCACAGAGCAGCAATGCTACAAGACATGCACAACACAGACTTCTTCAAGTAGAGAGAAAATGTAAAAGATCGATTATATAATATAGAAGATATATTTATGTAGCCATCAGCTGATTAGCAATTTTACTGTGTATGCTCCCTGTCATCAGAAAGGCCACAGAGAAGTCTGTTGTGACAGTCTACCACATGTGGCTCCAGTGGCATCTGAGACAAGGAATACACAGAAGCCAGGCCTTCATTGCCTTGCCTAGAAAGGCTGTATGTGCTCTTCCAGGGAAAACATGGAGAGATGGAGCTGAGTGCTAGGGCTGTGGGCTGTCTTAGCAGAAAATGTGGAACCTGGGCTGATGAGGGGCAAAGAAGATGCTGAATTATTTTCTTTTTTCTGTGAATACACATTTGGCTTATATAGTTACTTATGTGGTTTTCCATTTAGTCAAGACAGGATGTGATGAGAACCTAGTGGTGGATCTGGGGAAGCTGGAATGTTGCAGACCAGTCTCCTTTTCATTCTCTGTCCCTCTCCCTTGTTTATCTCAGTTGCTAGTATAGAGACCTCTTTATTTAGTGTCTGCTATTCAATAATGCACTCTGGGCTTGGCTGTGCCTTTGCCACTGTCCCAAGATCCAACCATCTCTAAGGGGAGGGGGCAGTGTAACTGACCCAGCACCCGGTTCTCTGAGGATAGGGCACAGTAGTTTTAATGACACAGAGACAATCCAGGTATTAGCATATAGAGAAAACCACTTTGTAGCAACAATTATGCCACTCTGGTAATAACGATAAAATCAGCAACAATAATAGTGTCAAAGATAAACTGTATATTAATGTACCCTAAGAACTATTAATGTACCAGCTTTAACCAGAGAAGAGATATCTGTAATTACTAATATAAACACTGAGGCAAACCAAATATTGACATAGTAAATACCTACTAAGTGAAACAACTATACCTCTACTAACAATACCAATAGAAAGTATTCAACAATAATAGCATAGAGTTAACTTACTATCTAAATGTTAATAAAGCTTAATTGTTATACTCGTACAGATGGAGTGGAAAAAGGTAGAATAAAAAAAGTAGTTTTTGAAAAATTAGTCAATGTAATATGAAGAGAAAAAAGTGGACTAAAGAATGCTACTAGGAGTAAAAGGAAATTAGTAGAATTACACAAAAGAAAAAAACAAGAAAAAGAGCAAAAGAAAAGAAAAATAAGAAGGAAAAAATTAAGAAGAGAAAGAAAAAGGAAAAGAAATACCCAAACACCCAAAAAACTAATTAATGAAGGAAAAAGGAAAAAAAAATAGAAAAAAAGAAATGAGTTTAAAAAATTCCTTTGTACTTTCAAATGAATGGTTTCTTTGTAGGATCTGTGGTCCTGGGATCCAGTAAATCAGAGTTTCTTCTCCTAGCTTTAGGTGCTGTGTGTTTATGAGGTGGTCTCCCCTAACTCCATCCCTGTTCCCCAGACTATGGCAGTCATCCAAGCAAAGTGTGTCCATGGTCACATTAGTAGATAGGGAAAGCAGTCAGACCACTGGTCTTTGTTGGATGTTGGCAGTGGGTGAGGGTTCAAACAGATCACTGAACTTAATGCTTATACCTTCAGATCCAGTGCCTCTGAAAGCCACATTCACTGGGCCTGGTTTCTCACCACAGAGGTCAGGGTCTATGTTCTTCCTGCTTAAACTTCTTAGGGGTCTGTGTGTAGCCTGCACTGTCTCTGCAGGTTTCTTATAACTGTCTCTCACCAGTTACTGTGGTGGGTAACACTGAAAACCCTGAAGTATAGTTCTGCAGTTATTCTATGGCTCAGTCAACAATTAACCCCTTCCCAGAATGCCTCCTGTATAAACCCTCTCCAACATGACAGGTGCTGCTGTGGATTTCTCTTCTAAGTCTAGCCTGCCATGAGGGAGTCACTTTGGAGTAAATCCCCACACTGTTTTTGTAGTTTACAATAGCTTTGGGCTTTTCTGTAGGCTAGCTCTGCTAGTCTCTAATTTCTTCTTGGATCTACCAGCCTCCAGGCTTACCTTTTTCTCCTGGGCACTGGCTTTCTGCATATCAGGTTGGTCAGTTGGTCAGTGCCTCTGCTGCCCTGGTTGATAGTTGGTGAATGGCTGCAGCCAGGGCACAGAATTCACAGTCATAGAGTTGGTCAGAACCAAACATATGCAGTGCTGTCATCTATGAGATGTGGCTCTACCATCCCAACCTTGGTACTGTTATTGAAAGGATAGTCTAGTGTTTATCATTAAAAACTTTTTCTGCTGATAAGCTTGATATTGTTCAAGTAATAATTTCATAAAATGACTCTTGAGAACAAAAAAAATTTTTTCCTGCAGAAAGTTGCTCCCAGATATTCCCATAAGATACAATTTTGATTTCAGTTTCTAATTTGGCATTTGTTTCACTTCTTAACCCTTATCCCAGTGATCTGACTCACTGCTTTTTTTTAGAGAATAAACTGACTGAACAAGTCCTTGAGCGCAGCATTTTGTTTCCTAAGGGATCACGGGCACTGGTATATAACATTTCTCCCTTTGTGTAGTGCAATAAGCAAAGACCGCTTTCTTGATGCTGCTCAAGGACTTATCCAATGTTTCATTGTTTTTAACTAAGTAATTGTAAACCAGTGATGAAGTGATACAGTCACATGCACCTTCTGAGGCAATTTCTTACTCAAGTCGCTGTCCTCAGCAGAGATGGGGTGCTTTTCACAGTTGACTCTTGTTTTCAATTTTGTAGAACTGCTCTTTTAGATATTATCAGAATAGATTCTAAATAACAGAAAAGTAAAAATTATTTGTATTCTAGCTCCACATAGTTCTGTTTGTAAGCAAGAACTATGTGATAGTTCATCAGAAACAGGAATCTAGGACCACGTTCACATCCTGTATAGGTTCTTTTATCCACAGATGATTTAATTTTTATGGTGATTCATAAGTTCTAGACCAAACTATTTTTGTTATTTGTAGCTATTAAGGAAATAACTTTCATTCATAGTGATTTTGTAACTTTTTCATAGTTGTTTGTAGCTTTTCATAGTTGTTCTCTTTTTAATCCTATAGGTTAGGGGTCCCCAACCCTTAGGCCACAGACTGTTAGGAACTTGGCCATATAGCAGCAGGTGAGTGGTAGGTGAGAAAGTGAGGCTTCCTTTGTATTTGCAGTTGCTCCCTATTGCTCACATTACTGCCTGAGTTCTGTTCCTATGAGATCAGTGACATCAAAAGATTCTCATAGGAGCACATATCTGACTGGCCATGCAAGGGATCCAGATTGCATGCTTTTTATGAGAATCTAATCTGAGGTAGAGTTGAGGTGGTGTCTTAGTTACTTTTTGTTGCTGGGACAAAATACCTGATATCACAGTTAAAAGAGGAAAGGTTTACTGTAGCTCCCAGTTTATAGAGCTTTCAGTCCATAGTCAGCTGGCTCCAAGGCAGGGTGGCAGAGAGAAGGGCATGGTAGAGGAGAAACCATCTATGGCCGGGCAGGCAAGAAGTAGGAAGCAGCAAGCCTCCTATTCTCTTTTTATCCCAAGCCTATTGGTTAGTGCCACCCACACCCAAGGTGGGTCCTCCCATTATCTATATCTAGAACTACGCTAAAGCAATCAGTAGATTAATCCATTTATCACACCCTTACTCCATTTTCACACACCCACAGTCCAGTCACTTCCCAAAAGCCCCATCTGTGTGTGCATGAGTTTTGGAGGGCATCTAGATATTAGCCATAAGAGGCAGTGATGCTATCTCTGCAGGGCAGCTACAAACACAGATTCACATTAGCAGAGAGGTTTGACTGCACAAACTATAATACATCAGTTGCTTGCAGACTCATATCAAAACCTGTCTGTGAGTGGCAAATGATAATTAGGCTATATGTCTTGGGAGTCTATAGTGACAAGTGAGTTGATGCACTTCTATTTTACAGTTGCATCTGGTGTTCAAACTTTAAGTCAGAATCTGCCACTTACTTTCATTTGTATGTGGCCCGACCATTACGTTATTTACCACTTCCATCTGCTGCTCTTTTCTATATTGCACACTGCTTTCAGTCGCGGGTTTGGTAAGCTCACAAGCTAACCATAACAAAAATGAGTAAGAAACAAATGTCAGTGAAAAGCTGTTTTATGAAAGGAGAAAGACCCAATGATCCAAAGATCCAAGGCTGCCAACAAAACACTGCATTTAAAAGAAAATATCAAAAGTGCTACTTAAGTCATGGGTTCATTGCAGTAGGTGACTCACATTCTTCATCCTGCTTTGTATAACGTGGTGACCAGCTGCTTAAGGAAGGGATGAATCCTTCAAGTCTGCTTTACCACATGAAGACCAAATATCTTCCATTAAAGCACAAACATTACAGTTTGTCAAGAGAAAAGAAAAAGTGATGAACACAAAGAAAAGAAGTAATTATTTTTTAAATTTTATTTTTAGAGATAAAAGAACCAAAATACATTAACAAACACACAGACATAAATGAAACAACATAAA